GGCCTAATCCATATGGGCTTGGCTCATATGGGCCCGGCCTTTATGGGCCTCGGCCCTAAAGCCCGGTTACCTCAATTTTATTCTAAAATTAAAGCTCAGCCCTTATTCATAGGGCTCAGGGTCGGGCCCGTAAGCCCGGATAAAAATAAAATAATATAAAATAAAATTTAACATTAAAATTTATTTAGAATATTTTAAAATTTAACATATATCAAACCAAAGTCTCACATAATCTAAAAAATGAACAAAAATTTTAAAAGTCCAAATAAGATGAAGGCAAACATCATCATCAATCGTAATCAAGATCTCCCTCATTATCATCCATAAATAAAATATTAAAATCCTCAGATGTAGGTCCACTTATGAAAGATGGAGGCGGAGGCTTAATATTAATTATTTCTGCAGCTTCTTCATCATCACCTACAATAATTATTAATTAAATTGTTTTATTATCAAATATATATCTATACATATATCACAAGATAAAATATAAAAATTACTATAAAATGGCACAAAACAATTCAACCAATTGCTGGTACAAAATACAAATCAATATTTGCACATTATCTGGAAAGAGGTGAAAATAATACTTTGTGAATAGTAAAACGGGCTTCACGGGCCGCCCGGGCCCGAGCCCCCTTTTTTAGGGCTTAAAAGGGTCGGGCTTCGAAGCCCAGATACCCTAAAAAATGTCAAATTTTTAAGCCCGAACCCTTATTAAAACGGGCTTAAACGGGAGGCCCGTCAAGTCCGGCCCTTATTTCCGACTCTAACTAAAAGATTGAGATGCCGGCATAGATGTTATATCAAAAAATTATTGGCATGCATTGTAGTGAGCAGTAACTTCTAAATGTTTAAAATTCACTCTCTCCTATTTAAGGAGATAGATATTAAAAAAGATATATAACATTTTTAAGTATTTCAATGTATAATTAAAATACTTTTTTCATAAGTATTCATCATAAATAAATTATTTTATATTTATTTTTAAATAAAATGCATTATTAAATATGAATAAATATATAAACATGGCATTAATTTAAAAATAAATAATTATTTTATTAAGAGACGAGATTTAATTAAAAATATTTTATATTTTTGAATAACAAGACTACATATTTTAAATGTGTGATACAAGTAGTGGTGAGCAGACAATTCATAATCCATCAAACTTGATTTACATCTGTAGTTTTGATTTCTTCTATTAACCTCTTCCGATAGATATTTATGAATTTTAGCCTGATTGTTGAATTTATTCAATTAATATGGTTGGATACTTCTTAATTCTTGAACGCCACTTGATAAAAATAAATTGATAAAATTTTGATTCTGATAGCTTTCAGATATTGAAATTTAGTTTATGTTTTGAAATGATAAGGGGCTTCAAATTCTGGAATTGTGCTTTCATTGAAGTGCAGCGTTTTTTTCTAGCTGAAGTGTTAAACATTTTTCCCCCAAACCTAAGCATAATGCTAAATGGAATATGAGTAAAACGGCTTTTAGTCTTGAAAAATTCTTTCACAATTTCACCATATTTTTATTTTTAATAATCTCTCCTAAAAAAAAGCTATACCAACTAATATTAATCTGATCAACTTAGCTTAATTTATTTTAAAATTGGTCAAAATGGGCTACACATAGGTACAGGCTGGCCTGACCTATTTTAGAGAAGACAGGATGAGTTATGGACAACCCCTCAAACTAGCCTGTCCCGGCAATTATATAGTTTTAAATGTAAAGTTTTGAGACCATTTAAATTATGAATTGATTTATAGGCGTTATAAAAAAAAAAAAGAAAAAACCTATAAAAGATGGAGCTTTGGTGCGAGAAAAAAAGTTGAGATCAGATTACACGAAAATGAATGAACAATGATATGAACAGTTCAAAAATTGAATGGTTTGGACTTTCCTTCAATTAAAAAGCATCGTAGTAGAACAATACGCATAAGATTACTGATTGTATAGTTTTTCAGGGACCAATATTGTTTTACATTTGATAAATTAATGAATCACTGATAATTATTATCTACCAGCCTATTTATAAAAAATTGAGTTACAATTGCACAGACAATAGTTTGTTTAGATAAATGTCTGCAAAACTACATTTTACATAAACTACAATTTGCAAATTAAAGCTTTGTTAAAAGTCAATTACTGTAATATGATTTATATTTAAATTTTATTTTTTTAAAAAAATCAGTTTAATAGACTGAAACTTGATGATATAATTAAAAAAATAGTTTAAATATATAATAACTAAAAAGAAGATGGGCTAGTCTCCGTCCCTCCTTCCTCCCACTCTCACACCTGTGCATATAAGTATGCAATTTGATAAATTTAAAAAAAATATTAAAATTATAATTATAAAAATAAAATAATTAATGTATAAAATAGTTTTAAATATTAAAATATTAATGTACAAAACATTTTAATTAGATATATTTGAAGAGAAAATATTCATACACACACATATATGTGGGTGTATATAAGTCACAAATAATAAAAATGTTAAATTTATAAAAAGAATAAAAATTTCAAATTTCAAAAGGAAATGTAAAAAGTAAATGATAGAGAGGTCTTAAAAGAATCAATTAATTCAAGTTAGATCTCAAGTGTTAAATTTTAAAAATTTGCAACTCAATCAATTTTTTTATTCTTTAATTATATTAAAATTTTAAAAATAAGTTACAAATTTATTATAACACAGTTGCAAATTTGAGAGATGGACTTGCACATTTTTAAATTTTGACACTTAAAACCTAACTTAAATTAATTGATCATTTGAAACTTTTTCATCACTCTCCCAATATAAAAAGACAAATAGTTTATCCAAAAAAAATTAAAATAAATTAAATGTTGTTATTGGATATATTTCAATGTAACCGGTGTAAAAGTTTTAGAATCTAGCTTTTGGCATAAGTATAATTAAAAAAGAAAAGTTCATGTACCAACTACCACTATCCAAACATATTTGTTTACTCCTAATTAGTTTTTAAGCTTATAAATTATAGTTTAAATCGACCAAATGAAATTCCGAACAAGATCTCAGATTGATCAAACAATCAAGAGATACGAACATATGGTAAAAAATTTTGATATGGGGGTCCTATTTTGGCACAAGTCACTGTAAAAATCAGGCTACAATAATTTCTTTCTGTCTGTTTTTTCAAGACTTGGGCATCAATTTTGAACCCAAAATTATGATTTTAAAAATTTTTATTCAAATATTTTTAATTTTTACAGACTTCACTTGCTTTTCAAAACTTCATTTGGCACACGTTACTCCCTCCTTATAAAATTATAAGATATTTTAAATCAACTTTCATCCTTAATAAAATAATTAATTATTTTTAAACTAACATTATCTCTTTTTATATTTACCTGTATTCAATAGGATGTTTCATTTTAAAGAAATATAAAGTGGTTTATTTATCATGGATACTTTTAAAAAAGAAACAAGTTAAAATATTTTTAGCATCTAATCCTTTAAAAAATACTTTATATTTTCTAATGGAGGGGTATTTTTTTTTCTCCATTTGAGAATTAATTCCCAATATTTGATCATTTTCTATTTTGCCCCATCTTTATAATTGATTTTGAAAAATCATCCAAACATCTTCAGTTATCAAAATTAATTTCAAAAAAATATTATTCAATAATCGTTATGTATTCTTAATTAATTTTTTTCTACAATCGATTTCTCTCACTTGAAATCCATACGCACAAATATTATAGATTTGCAACTACAAATAGAATAATGTGTGAACTAATATTTTTTACGATGTATCATAATTTATAATTATAACTCTTAATGGTGAGAATTTAAAATTTAAACATAACTAAATAAGACAACAAGGACGTTAGGATAATGGGGATAATGAGAGAAAATTGAGAGGCAAGTGAGGCATAAAATTTGAAAATAGAATGTTAAAGAAGTTAAGACTATAAAAAAATAAGTATTCGCTAAAAATGAGAAAGAAAATTAAGAGATAAATTTAATGAAATATATCATATTTTTCCATATTTATTACATTCCTTAATTTGCATATAATAACCTCCAAACATCCATATAATAAAACATGGAAGTATACAGATTTATTATTGAATGTTGTGATTTATATTCTTTCATTATGTAATTTTTTTGGTTTTAAATAAAATTATGCATTTAATTCAAATTAAGTGTAAACAAAGTATATAAATAAATTAAAAAAATATTTAAGTAGATTAGGTGCACTACATCATTATAGCCTATCCTATTAAAATGTTTCAAATAATCTAAATAAAATTTTGTATAATATTTTTTAATTAATTTTATTTTTATAACAGAATATATATTTAATTTTTTTAATATTATTAATATCATAATTAATTTATATTTAATACTATTTAAATATTATCTATTTAAATGTAACATAAATGTGGCGGTGCATCTTATTTATTTAAATGAGGTTCAAAAGAAGGGCCATCCAATACTTTTGTGCCACCTGTTAAGATCCGCTTGGCCTTTTTGCTGGCGTGTGCAACTATCACCGCTAGAGGACATCATTTTAAATTAAAAAATTAATTTTTTAATTTTTTAATTTTTAACTCACTTATAATTCAATCTCTCAATTATAACTCGCTATAACTCAATTCCTTAACTTTTGATTCACCTATAATTTAATCCTTATTTTTTAATTTTTTTTAAATTTTTATCAAATAAGAAGGATAAAAAATACTCATATATTATTTTAAAATACCCTCCTCTTGCTTATCGATGTGAGATATAAGCTAACATGAAATAATAAAATTAATAAAAGCTCAGGAACTAATTTATAAGTGATTCAAAAGTTGAGAGATTGAGTTATAGATAAGTTATAGTTAAAAAATTGAGTCACAAATTGAGTTACAAGTGAATTAAAAATTAAAAAATTAAAAGATTAATTTTTATTTTAAATTTCATTGACATAAAAAACATCATTAATTGATTTTATTAGATATTTAAATCGGAGTTCATTTGCCACAGCCAAAGAGCCTCACCTTTTCACGAAGGCGGTTTTTGGTTCCATCTTGGGAGCTGGGGGATACATTCTTGACAAACTGGAATCGGAGAAGCAAAGATCCGCTGATTTCTGAGTCAGCGGTCGCCGATCTCTGTGTTCGTCAGTGAAGAAGAGGAGCTTTGGAAATGGCAAGTGGAGGCTATGGAGAAGCTAACCAGAAGATTGATTACGTGTTCAAGGTCGTGCTAATAGGTGACTCTGCGGTAGGGAAGTCGCAGATACTAGCTCGGTTTGCGAGAAATGAGTTCAGCTTGGATTCCAAAGCCACGATCGGCGTCGAATTCCAGACTCGGACTTTAGTCATTCAACATAAGACTGTCAAGGCTCAGATCTGGGACACCGCTGGTCAAGAACGGTGCGTTTCTGAACTCTAATGTCTATTCCAGTTCCTTCTCATCGATGCTATCTCGCGTGAGTTATTCACACTGTCGAGCTCTTTTAATTCAAAATTTGAAATCGTTTCTCTGCTTGTCTTCGCCGATTCTCGCAAAGCCACTCAGAAAATACTTGCGTTTATGTTTTTTGAATCATCGTTTACTAACGCGTGAACTTCCTTCTTCCTGCACTTAAGTGTTCTAATAGCGGGAGGCCGGGAGCGGATCATTTAGTGTAAAGCAGCGGCGGAGAGAATAATTTGTAGTTTCAATTTTTTTTTTTGGGGTAACATTTAGTATATCCCTATCTAAGATTATTGAAATAAATTCAGGCGTAGAAAAGAAAAGGCCAGTGAAGTAAATTATCAATTTTTTCCTTATGTTGTCTTTGCATGTAAATGATGAAAATATGGTTACAATTATGTGCAACATTTTATAATTACAATTAAAGGAATATCATGTTTTAAGATTATTTAATGAATAATGAATCATTGATCCTTTCATGCGATTTAAATACAACTACACAACAATGCAAATAGAAAAAACGAAAAAAAAAAATCCATGCATCTCTCATTCAATTACGTGGTTTATTCTTAACAGTTAAGCCGACGACTCATTCTGGCTTACATTCCGGTAACTTAGGATTTATATGACTATGAGTACTTTTATGTGAAAACATTTCAGTTACTTCCATATCATACCCGAATGACGTGGATTTCAATAAAGTTACATTCTTTGGGAAATTACATTCTGCCTTTATGGATGACTATGTAACATTTTATAGCAGCTATAACTGTCGTATCTATATTATATTGGTTGCTTATATATTTATTTATTGGTATGATTCCATTCCATTCCAATTTCAGATACCAAACATAAAAATGAAGTGGAATGTGATTCCATGTATAAGGGAGTCGCACATTCTATGTAGATCATTCCATTCCCATTCTGGTTTCGGAAAAAACAAGTTTTTGTTCCAAATGTTGATCATGATGTGTAACTTACGGCATAATCATTCATGTTGCCACATGTTATATATTCTAGCGAGTGTGTAGAATTCAATTATTGAGTCTAATCCTACTATTTTAATTTCTTGCAGTAGTATTCTAGGCTACCATACATTATTTGGCAAATCGATTGCCTTTATAGGATTTGATTGATGATTTGTTATCAGTTGGTTGACTTCAATGACTTGCCTGTATTTTAATTAAAAGAGAGAGGGAGAGAGAGAGAGAGAGAAAAGTTAAAATGCAGAGTGTGTGTAGTTTTGGTCTTTCTAGGAGGAGGTTGCATAGAGATCAGAGATGTCTGCTCATGCTTCTGATAGTTTGTTTACTGTATTCCTAGTCATGCTGTACGAGAGTGAGCGAAATGCAATACTTAGTGCTTACGAAAACATCGATTTATTTTTCTTATTCAATTACCATCTAGATTTTGCCATTCTCAATCGGGTTGAGCTTTTGGAGCAATTTGTTATCCGTAGCATGACATAAGTCTTGAAACTCATGCACCTTCAGATTCTTTACAAACCAAAGTATCAACGAAAACAAACAATAAAAGGGAGCTGGTATTGACTGGTTTTTACTTGTCGTTTTACATCTCGGTAAAGTTGGCTGAGCAACTTATGCATAATGCCTTACTTGGTCCAGTGAGATCAGCATTTGAATTTTCGAATACTATATGATTTTAATTTCAGCTTTTTGTTCTGGTTGAATTACATCTTTTGACACAAAAGGTGCAGGTGCCTTCCCCTTTGTCATAGCTATTTAGTCAGCTGGGTTTTCTTTTTTACCTGCATGCATTTTGAAGTAAGATGATTTCCAAGTTGCTGCTGTTTCCTGATTACGGCTCATTGTTCAGATACAGAGCAGTTACGAGTGCATACTACAGGGGTGCTGTTGGGGCAATGTTGGTTTACGACATTACTAAACGTCAGAGTTTTGATCATATACCTCGATGGCTGGAAGAATTACGTAACCACGCTGACAAGAATATCGTTATCATCCTAATAGGAAACAAAAGTGATCTTGAGAGCCAGCGAGCAGTACCCACTGAGGATGCAAAAGAATTTGCCGAGAAAGAAGGCTTATTTTTCTTAGAGACCTCTGCGCTGGAATCGACTAATGTTGAAGCGGCCTTCATGACTGTGTTGACAGAAATTTTCAATATTGTCACCAAACACAGCCTAACTGCTGGTGAAAATCAAGGAAACGGCAACTCAGCATCCCTTTCGGGCAAGAAGATAATTGTTCCTGGTCCTGGTCAGGAAGTCCCAGCCAAGACGAAGACGTGTTGTCAGTCATCCTGAATTAAAATTTGTTTTCAATCTATCAGATTAACGATCGTGTTCCTATTACGAAATTTTGAAGGTTTGGTGCCCCTTCTTTCTGTAAATTTGAATGACTTAATAGTATATGATGCTTTAGCATTGAGTGCAGAGTTAAAGATGAAAGTCATTGTTAATTACCCAGCACAACTTCCGTGATTTCCACTTGAGGGATTGGCTGGAATTGTTTCGAAGCTTGGAGGTATGTTTTAAGGACAAAATTTAGGGGGTATTGATATGTTTGCTATCAGTTTTTGTAAAAGAATTAAATGGATGGTTTCTACAATTTCATATTATCCAGTCTTTCAAATGGTTACTTTATGCATCATGTTTTCATGAGAAAACTTCATTCAAATGATTTTCATTGCAAGCATGATAAATGGGCTCTCGGGTATAAACTTCTAGAATTCGCACAATTCAATCATCCCAAGAATCTGTTAAATGTGCATACTTTGATTCACCTTAAAAATTTTTTGCAATCCTTATTTATAAATTGAAAAAAAAATGTTCTTAGACACAAGCAATTTTTATTGAAGTTATCAATTACTGTCATTTAAATGTTAATTGAATAATTTCATTAACAAATCCAGTAATAATTGACAATTTTAATATGACAAATTGCCAAAAAAAAACAAATTGATAATATCCGTAAATTGTATGTGATTTTGAAATAATTTTGTAATTTTTCTAGACTCTTAGATTACTTGCATGAAATATGTAATTTTTCCTTGTAAATTTGAACCCTGGGGAGCAATTTTTTTTCTCCTATCCCAAAAGACGCAGCCACGAAAGGAAGTGCGCTTTTGAATGTTAAAACAAATGTGAAGCAATAGCCTAAAATAAAATTCTAAAGGATATCACGAGGAAAACCAGAGTTGACACAATTTAAATATCTAGGTGAGCGAACCGAAAAGTCACCATTCCCATCAAATGCAGCGTAAGGAGGATGTAAACCATCACTAAAAACCTGGTCTAAATGCCACTAACCTAGTAGAAAATAACTTGACATTCTTTTGATAAAATTCCTTGAGTATTAGCTCTAAGGTTCCTTCACTTGTTATACTCACTGCTACTGAAAATTGGAAAATAAAAAATTCATAAAAACTGAACCTATTTTTTTAACAGTACCTTTTACCTATGAACTTCCGTTAGTTACATGGTTAGTTTTGCCCTTCAAGTACTCTCCTTCATCTTCTACATTCGACTGTCTGTCTACAAGCGCAGAGGAGCCATGTTCTGTGTCTAGACGTATTAGTAGCCTCTCAAGCAGTTCTTGGCAGTCCGTTGCAGTAACCATCACGGTCAAACTGGCCCTACCCTTCCAGCATCCAATGGCTATGGTTGACTCATCCACCTGGCAGGACTCCAAATCAGCTTTGTTGTTCCCTGCAGTAACAAGAAAAAGGCCACATAAAGAGAATTATTGATCCATTCACCTTCTCGACAGCATGGTGACACATACCCTTACCCAGAACCACCACACAACATCCTAGCATAAGGTTTGCAGCTTTTTCACTAAACTTGGCATCAACAAAATCTGCAAATCTTACAGCTTTATTCTGCAGAAGACGCTTGAAGTCTACAGGAGATGCATGTAGGATCTGCTTGGTGATATATGGGAGAACAACGGGCAGTCCTTCTGATGATATCCGGAAAGAACATGGTGCAGAGTTACCTTCTCGTGATGATTGTCTTTCCTATATGATGGGGAAGTGATTATTTTCACTTGGATTATTCACAAAAAAATCATCAAAGAAATAGTCTCAGAATGTCGATGGCTATTTTATCAAAAACGTAAAAAGTCAAGGGCTGTCATTTTTTTTGGCCGCAAATCAATCATATTCACTTTTCACTAGGATGCTTTGGATGAACTTTGCACATGTTACATCTATGATCACCAATTACCAGAGATCAAAATAAACTTATATAGCTAACAATGCTGCACATCCAATAAAATTTAACAGATATTTCGGTAACCAATTGAGTTGATGAAACATGACAGAAAAAAATCAAGTGCCCAGGCGTATGAAACAACTCGACATACGCTATAACCGGATGTTCAAAGGAAAAAAGAATTGCTTTGTACGTCTCTAATCTTTCATTCGACCAAAGTCTTGAGGTACTTGATGACTCCCTCCGTTCAGTTGTTTTCAACTATTTTATGCATACTGACAAAAGTTTGTTACTCAATTAAAATGATACAAAAGTATGTCAACGTTCCATTTTACCCCTATTCATTAAAAGCATGATTGAAGACTCCTTTCCAAACCCTAATTACAATTTTCAAGGAGCTAAGGGTTAAAATGATCCAATTGTTAGAAAATATGACAAAACCTCTTATATTGTTGACCAAGGAGAAATTCTAGAAGATATCTTGTAAATAGGGGCATTGGGAGTATATAACATCATTAAAAAGCACACTACTTTTACCAATCAAAATCTGTTTTGACTAAATTTTTGTCTTATGCCTAGATTTACCTCTTGGGCCTATCTTAGCCTGTCACTGCTGAAAGCCTTTTCTAAGGGTGAGGAAAATTTACTGCATTATTTTAGTGTAATATGGAGCCTGAATATATAGATCGATAGCAACAACAATAGCCATAGCAACAACAATATCAAATTGTTGAATACTAAAGTATACTTACAAACATCTTAAGACCAATCGATGCAATTTTTAGCTGCTGCCCAACTGAGAAATTTAGTTCAAGAACATCCTTCACTGATTTAGAGACATAGTAAATCCGTTTCACGTGGTTTGGGTCACTATTTCTTGAAATTAGGTGACCCTTGAATGGAAACTGCTCATCAATACCATAGAATGCCTTTATGCTGTTAATAATGACTTCATCTTTGAAGAAGATAACAGGGTCCACACCTCTCCACTTGCCTTGAATCTGCAGCTTTCTTTTTCCCTGAGTCATCTTTGCAATACTTTCTGCGTCGTCAGGCTCTTGGGCTTCTTCCCCTGAGTTCCATACTTCATGTGAAACAGAAGGCCTAACTCTCAAATCTACAATGTTGGGCTCAATTTCATTTACATCAGCCACTGAAACTGCTTCCAAAACGTCCTTCCGTGTATTTTCTAATGAATCAACCTGCAACACCTCATTATCCTCAATATCCAGGTTAGCTGGTTTTACATGCTTCTTTGCGATTCCTTTTTTAGGTTTTTCCTGAATTGCTGCAAAAGAAGAAAGTAAAACATAATCACACATCTATTATGCCAAGCAAAATAAAAAATGAAGTCAGGAACTCAGGTCTATGCCAGAATGCATGTGAACAAGGGAAACATTACAACTTAAGCAGATTAGCAACTAAACTTTGTTAACCATAATTTCTTGACTATCTTTGACAGAAATTAAAAGAGACAGACAGAGAAATAACACATCGCATGTGAAATTACGAGGCATGGGAGAAACTTTTCGAAGTACAGCAATAAAGAAGGCTCCAGTGTTTTGATCATGAGGCACAATCCTCATACAACGCTCAAGAGGGAAATCTGAAACCTCCTCGGCAAACTCATTTGTCATAAGATTCTCCATTGCCTGAACACCATCTTCAGAATCTCCATTATGACCATTGTTAATATCATTTTGCATGTCTACATTATGATTACTATCAAAAAGATTCTGAAAGCTTCTGCCAGAAGGAAACATGCTGGGATGAACTACACTTCTGCGTGACTTGGGAACATCTTTGTAAGTCCCCAGCCACACGCGCCTGTCAAGTACCTGCATCTCCATATTCTTACACCTTTAGAAGTGTTTAAAAGCATGCTACAGCATAGCAAACATAATCACAAAAAAATCTAAAAGCTTCTGCCGGAAACTACATTTCAAGCTGAGTGGAAAAAAAAAAATTACGTTCAGAGTTCAGACAGTTTGAAACTATTTTGTCACGCCCATCAACAATGATGTGACTTGATTAACATTAGAAACCAAGACAATGTCCAAACTCCTGCCATGAGCTAACCACGAACAGCTGTCCAAAATTGATTGAAAAGAACTTACAACCAAGAGGAAAAGAAAGAGCCTTAAGGGTTGTCACAGTTAAGGGAAAAAAAAACAAATTTGATGAATAGGTAATATATCAAGCAGGCTATTTCTCCTCCTTAAGTCCAGAAAGATGATAAGCATGATCATCCTTTTTTTTTTTTTACAAGGCAACAGTAAAAACCGTGTAGAGGTTACAAAAGCCAAGTCATTATCAGAATCCAAAAGATGATTTTGCATCCTGGAGGCGATTCATTATAAATAATGAGACCGGAATTGTCATGAGAAACTTAGTGTGTGAGCATATCAGCACATTTGTTTACTTCTCTAAAGACAAGATCAAAGTTATGTTGGATGAATGAAAGGGCTTCCATGGAATCAATGTGTAAATTAATTTTTGTGAAATTATGTTGGATGAGTGAAAGGACTTCCATGGAATCAATGTGTAAATTAATTTTTGCGAGTTCTACATTCCAACAAAGCATGAGACCTTCTAAAATGCCTAATAACTTAGTCGCAATTCTAGGGTGATAGCCAAGTTATTTTGAGGATTCCATAATCCAATTTCCTATCTCATCGCAAATAACTCCACCACAAGCATGATCATCTTTGCATGCACTGGCAATCATATGCATTACCAAATATTGCTTGTACTACTACTGCTGCTATTGTTACTGCATTGCTACTGCTAAACATTGGCAACTCAAGGAAAGAATTGGCCACTGAAAACACATGCCTTCCATCTCTTGAGACCTGGCCGACGAACAAGCTGTAGGAGCTCATGAGACACATCAACAAGCTCAACAGACCCTCCACACCTCCGCAGAATCTGCAATATATTAGAGAAGTACGAAAATTCAATTAACATTATAAAAGATCAAAGTGTATAAAAGTGCCAAAAGCAATACTACAAATAATATATCATGGCTTTTCAATGTCAGAAATAGATATAAATATTTATTAGCACATAAAAATACCAATGCAAATGTAATATACCATAGATCCAGGCACAAAGCACTTGGTCCATAGTACTACTAAAGTTGACATGTAAAGGGGGATCAATGGCAAAATCATATTAATGTAAAAAAAAAAATGCATTAATTGATCTTGGGAAATGCAAGGCATTTATAGCAGAAAGTGCACAAGCCATAACAGACCTCATAAATCTGCCAAACCAAAGTAGGTTCAAAGCATATTACCTCTGCAACCACAGCTTCATTCTCTATAGGGTTCATTGAGCAGGTTGAATAAACCATTCTTCCACCAATTTTAAGCAAAGATACACCTGGGATATTCAATATGGCTAATAAGTTTACCAAAATTG